TAAGTCAGAAACAAATAAAGTCAACCACATGCCACAGTTAACAAAAATTTAAAAAGGCATTTACCCTTGTCTTATAGGAGGGAAGAATTTTCCCTTAAGTCTCTCATCAAAATACTTTTCATTTAATATACATCAAAATGTTCCCAAATGAACTACAGACCAGGAATTAGTCATTGAATGTTTTTAAAAAACACCAAACATTTGAAAAACTCAATTTTTTGCAAACAACTATAAATAGAAAGGACAGAGTTATATCAAATCAATGATTTGCCAAGTTCTACCAGTGAGATTCTCATCTTGTTGCACGGTCTGCACAGAATATACATCTAGAAATGCTTAGTGTATCTGCCAGTTTAGTGACAGCTGAAGGATGGATCAAACCGGATACCTGGAATACTAAATGATAAGGTCTGAAAATGAAAGGAGTGAGAGACAGTAGGTGTGAGGGATGGACAGAACTTAACAGAACAAGGTCATGCAGTCAATACATTCTTTCCCTTCATTAATCGTTACCATCATGAAGAATGGGTTGATTTCAGTGAGAAATATGTCCCAGTACCAAGAGATGGCACTAAGAAACATCTGTTACACCTGTTAATGAAATTGCTAATGTATGACTGTATCTTATGAAATCGTCTAATGATAACCACTGGATAATAGTAGGTTAGAGGCACAATGCTCACCTTTTCATTAAGTTTGACTTTTTTAAAAAATTAATGGGGTAGCCATGTTAGTCTGTACAGGATCAACTTAAAAAAATAAAAACTGGTCTGGTAGCACTTTATAGATCATTGGTGACTCAATGTCATGGGCACAGACTACTTCTTCAGATGACCTGTCTGTGCCCACGAAAACTCATGATAGCACTTTATAGACTAACAAAACATATTGATGGTATCAGACCATTGTTTTTTAAAGTTTAAAAAAGTAATGTTAGTATGTGCATGCTTCAGTTCCAGCACTTTTACCTTGATCTACTGAGGGACAAGGCTAGATCTGTGAAAGCAGTAGAAAATTTTATAGTTTGATAAAGCTAGTGTTATCAGTTCCCTCTTTCTAAAGAACAGAATTATGAAATATGTACTGAAAATATTGTAACTATTCTTTGAATACATGTATAATCCAAGCTCAGTTTCAACTTTGACTTAACTGTATATTTGTTCGCTTTAGAAAAGGGAATTTGCTTCCATATTATTATACTTAGTATGTTCCCTGAGGCGGAGTACATACCACAGCTTAAATGGTGTAAGTTCAGTCTCTCAAGGATGTGAATAAACTACTCCCCTGAGCAATACAAGTTCTACTGACCTAAAGTGCTGGTGTGGACAGACTGTGTCAGTGGGAGAGGATCTTTCCTTTTCTCCCCACCCCCCACAAACTATCACCACTCAGAGGGACTGAAGTAAATCAATAGGCAAGCTCTATCCCACACCCCATCTTAGAGGATCTGCACTAATAGCACTGCATCCATGTTGCTGTAACTCTGTAGTGTAGCATAACCTAAGGGTCATAATTACAGCTGGTTGGGAAAGGGAAATTCTATTGACATAAGCAGTGATTGGATGACAAGGGATGAATCACAGGCTAACTACCCTGTTTTGTTCATTCCCTCTGCAGCACCTTGCACTGCTCACTGTGGGAAGAGCAGATACTGGGATAAATGGATCATTGGTCTGACCCAGTATGGCTGTTTCTATGTTGTTATTCTTCTAAAAATTTCAACGTTTCAAAAGTTGTTTTCATTCTTATTCAAAATGAAGTCCGAAGTTTCCAATGGAATGGAAAACAATATCTGGAAACATTTTGTTTTGATAAAGTGAAGCCATCTAGCTATCTATATTAGAGAGACTGTGAGTCCATCTGTCTGTTTGTCTGCAAGTGTGTTTAAGAACTCCTCCTAAATGGCAAGAGCAAGGGTCACCAAAATTTGCTATGCAGCTTCCTCTTACCCTAACTTAAAAAAAAGGTCAGGGTTTCCTTGAGCTAGAAAAATGGGAAGTACCTTCAATGGGAATGTTTTCCAGAACATGGAAAGAGAGGGAGCAGAGAAGAGGGATGAAATACTGCAGTGTGGCCACTGGGGGAGCTGCACCAGCAGCATACTGCTGACAGGGCTCCACATGACTGGTTCCTGAACTGGGTAACTGCCCCCCTGTTCCAAACTGTCCAGACAGAGAGCCCACCCGCCCTTTCTTCCCCAGATCTGAGACCACCTTGGGTGCTTGGAAGTGCATCCTGTCCCTCCCTCTGAGAACAGGCTGCAGACCAGGGGGTGGAGGTGGGGAAGGGGAGGAAGGAGGGCAGCAAAAGACCCCAGACACTTGCTAATTGAAATTTCCCTGAAAATATTTTCCCTTTGCAACAAGCTGATTTGACAGAAATCAAAGTCTTCCATAGAAAATTAATACTGGGGAATTATCAAGATATTTTGATTTTATTGAAAGGTAAGGTTTCATTTTGACTCATTCTGAAAAACCAATAAGAATGATAGAATGACATGCTTAAATAATTTAAAGCCTTTACTTTATAGTTGTGTGTTGGAACAACTAGATTAATTATGTATTTGATGTTATTTATCTTTATAGTCTTCCTAAAACTCTCAGTAGTTCTTTTCCATCCATATACAGTAGACTTCCCAAAGGTTCCAGATTATCAGACCTAGGTGCCGGATTATCAGGAGGTACTATAAACTGGTTTTATGTATTTTACACACACACACACACAGCGTATATAAATTGTTTTTAACTCTTTATTGTAGCACAAGCACTGTCCAGTGTCACAATGCCAGTGGCTGACTGACTTGATCCCATCCAGTTTTGCTTGGTTCAACTGCTGCCTTGTGACTCAATTTTTTGCCGAAGCTCACTCACTAGGCTCTTGCCATTTTGATGCTGGACTATCGGGAGTGGCGTACAATTGGATGCTGGACGATTGGAGTTTTGCTGTAATACAGTCACCATGATTAAATTCCATGGGCAGGATCTGGATTTGTTATTGTTGTTTGATGGGATGGGGTAAATATTTTTTTAAATTTTTTTTCTGTTCCTAATTGGTTAAAAAAATTGGAATTTTCCCATGCCATGAAATTACCCAAATATGTATATTTGGAGTTGAAACATATCAGGGTGCTTTTTGTTGTTCCAATTTTGACTTTTTTTTTTTTAAAGTGTAGTAGTTTGAAACATTCTTGCTCTTTGAATAGAGTATTTGTTTTCCATTTCAAAGTCTGTTTTAATCTTATGAAACACCTAATATTTCAATTTGTCTTTCAAAAATTAATTTGTCAAAGGTGAAATGTTTTCTGACAAAACAAAATGGTTGGGTAACTGCCAATCAATTCTACTTCCATGCCTGTTACTCTTTCTTCTACTGTATTTTTCAAGCTTCTTATTCTAGCTTTATAGCCTCCATTCTGTCTCTTTTTTGGATGATCCTTCCAAGTCTCTCCTCTGCACCAGTGATGTGGACATGAGCACACTGTTCTCCAACTATCATTTCTGTGCTGCCTTTCAGATGGCTCTTACACAAAGAAGGTCTCAGCTGAGAGCTAGGAGTAAGGGAAGCAACTTTAATTTTAGATGGATCTTGATAAATTTATGAAGAAGGTTATAGGACGATGTTGTCAGTGACAGCAGGGGATTGGACTTGATAACCCAAGAGATCACTTCCAATTTTGTATTAGGTTCCTATGTAGTCCACAAGACCATAAAACAAACCATTATGTTAATCATGACATAGCCATACATCACTTTGATGCCATCTCTTGCATGTTATGCCCTATGTTAATCACATCCCTGTTTGAATTGTATAGTCCATGGAACAGTGACAGTCTTCTGAAGTTTTCTGTACAATGCCTAATGCACAGGTCAAGATACCAGAAACAAATGATAAAATTCATATGAAGCATGCATAAGTGGTGCCATTTATTTATACACCTAATACACAAAATGTACTTTGCAGTATTAGAAACTGTGGGAGACTTGGCAAATTCCCTTTCCAGGGATTTACACAACCTTTCCCCCCTATTTTCAAATCATATGGGTACAACCGCCACATTTTTTAATTGAAATCGAACCCCAAAACTCAAAAATTGGCAGAGAAGTGTTTATATATGTG